CATGTCAGTCATTTCTTATTTTTATGATTTATTTATTTTCAACGAATGAAAGATGGACTCCCAATGAAACTGTTAAATATATTTTTTTTAAAAAAAGGTTTATTTATGCTTGTTGGAAAGTCAAGTTTACAGAGAGAGAGACAGACAGAAAAATCTTCTGTCCACTGGTTGATTCACCAAGTGACTGCAACTGCTGGTAACTACCCAACCTGAGCCGATCCGAAGCCAGGAGCCTCTTCCGGGTCTCCCACGCGGGTGCAGGGTCCCAAGGCTTTGGGCCGTCCTCAGGCCTGGCTTTCCCAGGCCACAGGCAGGGAGCTGGATGGGAAGTGGAGCACCCAGGACATGAAGCGAGTGTCATATGTGATCCTAGCACACGCAAGGGGAAGATTTAACCACTAGGGTATCGTGCCAAGCACTGTTAAATATGTCTTGACAATAGGATGCTGGGCCACTTACTAAAAATAATGGCTAGATTGTATTCTGGTATACCAAAAACCTTTTTTAAGGTTTATTTATTTTTATTGTAAAGGCAGATACACAGAGAGAAGGAGAGACAGAGAGGAAGATCTTCCGTGCGATGGTTCACTCCCCAAGTGGCCACATCATCTAGTGCTGCGCCAATCCGAAGCCAGGAGCCAGAAACTTCTTTCTGGGGCTCTCACGCGGTTACAGTGTCCCAATGCTCTGGGCCGTCCTGGACTGCTTTCCCAGGCCACAAGCAGGGAGCTGGATGGGAAGTGGAGCAGCCGGGATTAGAACTGGAGCCCATATGGTATCCTGGAGCGTTCAAGGCAAGGACTTCAGCCGCTAGGCCACGGCACCGGGCCCAAAAAAAGACATTTCTAAGATATGATAAAGTATGTTGTACTCGCTCGGCAACATGTATACTAAAATTGGAATGAGACTAAGAAGATTGGCAAGGATGACAAGATATGTCAAAACATTCACAGAAAATAGAACTCAAGGACAAATTTATTTTGGCGCTAAAGAACTGAATCCCTGCATAGGGACCCTGCAAGGGGTCTTCAGGAAGTTGATGAACATAGTAAGAAAACTTATTCACATTGATTTCAAAGTTCCTTTGTAGATTATCTTTTACTTTGATTTTTCCATGAACTTATCGAAAAACTCCCCTTACTTGAACTGAGATTTCTGGGTAATTTGTGTTATTTACCAATTTGAGGTGAGAGAGAGAAAGCATTGTGGATAATGTGAAGCTAGGACTGTTGGAAGGGCTGGAAGGGCGATCCGCAGTCCGGGTGCGGAGGACTGGTCTGCAAAGGCCGGGTTGGCAATGGACGCAGCCATCGGATGGGATTAAAGACCTGAGTGGCAGGCTGTGCACTCACGAGGCTTACAATGTCCAAGAAAGTGTACAAATGTTTGGCTCAGTTATTTCAACGAAACAAAAGCTTATCAAGTGAAATAAAGTATGAAATAAGAGTGATGTTTAACACCTGATCTTCTTGAGTCAGGAAAGTTTTTAAAAATTTCTTCAAATTTTATTTTATTTTTAAAATTTATTTTATTTTTATTGGAAAGTTAGATATACAGAGAGGAAGATCTTCTGTCTGCTGGTTTGCTTCCCAAGCGACTGCAAAGGCAGGAACTATGCTGATTCAAATCCAGGAACCCCTTCTGGGTCTCCCAGGCAGGTGCAGGGTCCCAAGGCTTTAGGCTGTCCTCTACTGCTTTCCCAGGCCACAAGCAGGGAGCTGGATGGGAAGCAGGGCTGCTGGGACACAAATCAGCACCCATATGGGATCTTGGCATGTTCAAGGCGAGGACTTTAACCACTAGGCTACTGTGCCGGGCCCTCAATTTTATTTTAAATATTGTTTACATAAGTTGAGAGGGATACACACTCATGTGGGCCTCTGATTAGCGTGGGGAAGGTCAGGTATGGACGAATGTGGGTAGGACATATTTTTTCTTCTTTTTTCTCCTGTGTCCACAAGGGAGGAGAGATTGTGCTGCTCCTTGCTGTCTAACTACATCAGTGCATAGGGATGGGGGAAGGTCTTTGATGACGCCTTAGAAACCTTGATGTTGGATAGTGTGTTCTGAGGGTGTTACTTGAGTGGTTTTGATAGTTCTGAAAAATTGTTGGTTTCATTGCATTCATTTTCAATGATTGAGAAAATCTTTTCCAAGGTCTGTTGGTTGACAAAATTCACTTTAGTACAGCCACGGACCCAGGAACATACTGTAAAGCTTGGTCAGAATTGTCCAACCTGGTCTGTTTCCATCCTCAGACGAGGCAGTTGACGCCCCCTGCTGGCTTAAATGTGCTGTCTGTCAGGCCCGCCCTGCACATCTGAACTTGCTGTCCACTGCACACTCATCAGCAACCAGGGAGGCTCAGATCCCATAGACGTACTTCAAGGTCAGCCGGCACACTCTGGGATTTTCCCTGTGACCAGGGTCTGAGTTCAGCAGTCTAGTTGGGGTGTCTCTAAGAAGCCCTGCTTGGGGTGACCTCAGACATGACTCATGTGTACCGGCCAGTACTGGGTCAGGTGCCGTCTGTCACTGCACCAACCAATACACACACCCGTGGATGCGGCGGATCCAGCTGCCTGGTCAGTTCTGCCTCAGCCACACATCTCATGTGAACGGATGGGTACTGCAGCCCAGCCTATCCAGCCCATCACAGACCTGTTCCTCATGCATACCAGCGGAAGCCGTGGTCTAGCTGGAGCAAACTCCAATGGTCCCCACCATGCCTTCCCCTGCCCCGGTTTCTGTGCATGCCAGCCTTTGCTGTGACCTAGCTTGACCCAGCCCATTTACCATCTGGCTTAGGAAGTTTTTTTTTTCTTTTAAGATTTACTTATTTTTATTGGGAAGGCAGATTAGAGTTATGGAGGGAAGAAGAGACAGAGGAAAAGATCTTGCATCTGTTGGTTCACTCCCCAAATGGCCACAATGGGTAGAGCTGAGCCAATCTGAAGTCAGGAGCCTCTTCCAGGTCTTCCATGTGGGTGCAGAGTTCCAAGGCCTTGGGTCATCCTCTGTTGCTTTCCCAGATCACAAGCAGGGAGTTGGATGGGAAGTGGAGCAGCTGGGACATATGGGATCCCAGCACTTGCAAGGTGAAGATATAGTCACCGAGCCGTCGCACCAAGCCCAGTAAAGTTTTCTTAAGAAAATTTTCTAGACAGGCTGCCATGGTGGCACAGCATTTTAAGCCACTACTTGCAATGCCAGCATCCATGCAGGCATTTGTTCAAGTCTCAGCTGTTCCACTTCCAATTCAGCTCCCTGCTAAAGCCCTTGGCAAAGCAGTGGAAAATAACCCAAGTCCTTGGGCCCCTGTCACCCACATGGGAGACACAGATGGAATTTCAGGCTCGTGGCTTCAGTATGCCCATGCTGGCGGTTTTGGCCATTTGGGCAGTTACCTGTGGATAGATTTTCTTTGTGTGTGTGTGCGCATGCACATGCTTTTTCTCTTCCTTTCATGTAAATAAATAAAATATTGTTTGAAAAAGAAACATTTTTTCCTAGGGAACATTTTTTCCATGGCACATTGGGTTTTACCGCTGCCTATAATGTTGGCATCCATATGGGCATCAGTTCAAATCCTGGCTGCTCAGCTTCCAATCCAGTTCTCTGCTAATGGTCTGGAAAAGCAGTAAAAGATGGCCAAGTGCTAGCACCTTTGCCACCCATGTGGGATGCCCAGATGAAGCTCCTGACTCCTGACTTGCAGCCACTGGGAAGTGAACCAGCCAAATGGAAGGTAACTGTTTCTCTTGCTCTGTATCTTTCAAACAAATGAATATGTCTCTTTTTAAAGCAAATGTCTTTAAATTAAAAAAAAATATATGCTTGTTATAAATAACACTTCGGGTCCTTAAGAAAGAGTATCATGTGCAATTTAAGAAGCATAAATGTTGCCAAGTCAAAATTAGAGATTCTTTATTATACATTCCATTCACAAACAGCAATTTGAAACAACGCTGATCTTTAGTTGGTAGCCACTGGACTGGCCTGAGTTCTTCCTCATCTCACATTGGAGAAAAACAGGCCTGCAGCTTCCTTTTATTTCCCTCAACATCAAGATGTATGGCAACTGTGCAGGAAGGCCTGTGTCTAGGAAAGTAACTGGTCAGCAAATGATAGGATAGGAAGGAAGTACTAGGATGGCATGAGGCACACACAGAAGGGTGGTAGGCAAACTCTGGTGACACCGTGCTGACCACGGAAAGGCAGCTCTAAGTGAAAGGCCAGCCAGCAGTAAGGTCTGGGTGTAGTCACCTTACCGTACGAGGAATTCATGTGTTTCCCAGGTAGACGCCGCAGCGTGAGGGGGAGCTGCAGGGGACATACTCAAGCAGGTGGCAGTCTAATGACCAGAGCCTTGAGTGTGATTTCTGTTTGAGAATGGCCTGCCATTCTCCGGAAAGCTTGCTGTGAGTCTCAGCTCTGCAGGTTTTTCCTGCGTACTCAGGGGCCTGCCCAGGGCCAGCGTCTCCCTCAGGTGCCATCCTCTACCACTCTGAGGCAGCTCAGTGCCCCTGCGATTGCTCACGGAAAGTCTAGGTTAATGGAGAAAGGGGGGAAGCCATGAAATGGATGACCCGACTGGGCCAGATGCTGTCTTGGCCAGGAGAAATACTGAGGGAGGGAAAATGGAAACTGAACTCTGAGGTCAGTCCTTCAATGTGAAACTGCCGTCCTGTCCACGCACTCTTCCTTTTGGGGCGCTTGGAATAAAGAGCCTGACCTGGACGGCTCGCCCCGCCTTTAGTCTCCAGCAGCTCCCCAAGTGAGGAGGGGGAGGGCTCTGGAGGAGCAGCGAGGCACAAGAGTCCAGGGGATCCCTATGAAGCTCTTTGGCAGAAATCGGAATCCGAGAGGCACGTGATCTAGGCATTTGACTTCCGTCATGTTTCCAGGAGCAGCTCCCTGGCTCGCTTACCTGGGGCCTCCTGGGGTTCCCCTCCTGCTCCCTTCCTGCTCCCCTCGGGCTCCAGCACCCGCTTAAAAGCTCACTCAGAATCCACTGCATGGTCAAAGGCCTGCACCGAGTGCTTCTTTGTCCTGGACACCGAACACAGGTACAAAAGGAACACCAGACACAGCAAGGCAGCCGCTGCGAAGAAAGCAAGGAGGCCCACGAAGACGGGCGGCTCAATGGGCAGGTGGATCAGGGGGCTCTCAGCTGGGATCTGGTTGGTCAGGCTGAGCATGTAGCCGAGAGACCAGGCTATGCTGCTGTTCCCCGCCTGTGGAGTAAAGAGGACAGTGTTGGTCCTCAGGGTAAGGCCCAGCCCTGCCGACCCACCAAGCTCCCGCAGCCGCTGTGTCCCAGGGAGGTCAGCGGGCCTGCTCACAGTCAGACCAGAGACTTGGAGGGTCCAGCGCAGCAGAGAAGCCAGAAGGGCCTGAGTGCAGTAGGCACCTCCGTACCAGGGAGAGTATGCCCGTTGTCCAGGGGTGCGAGAGGACCTGCCCTCGGGCTGCTTTCTCAGATTTGGGATCTGTCCCAGTTGTTCATTTCTTCCAGTAGCTCCATCCACTTTAGCTTATAAGTTTTTATACTGCTTAATAGGTGCATAAATGTTTTGAATTTATAATCTTCATAGTGAATTAATCAATGTAGCCATTTTTGTCTTGATTGATTGGTATTTTTTGTTTTAAAGACTATAGTTTTTTATCTACTAACCAGATAAACCAGTTTTCACCTGAGTGGTATTTGCCTACTAATTGAAAAACACATTTTTTCTTTGTTGACATCCTTATGCTTAAAGCACAAGTGTTTCTCTCATAAACAGCATCTACTTGAGTTTTTAGAAATTCAACCAAGCAGTGTCTGTTCTTTAACTAGGAGGTTGGGTCTACATAGGACTGTTATAATTTATTGGTATATTTGGCTTTTTAATATATTTCAAAATGTCCTTATTAGTGCTGTTTTCTTTTTTCTTGCCTTAAAAAATGATATCCTGTGCCCCTTGAGCATTTCGGGTTGCTCCTGTGTTGCTGTGTCAAGCCCTGACGGTGGGTTGTTTCCATACTTGGGTTGCGTGCATAGATGTTTTTGTTTCTAATATAAATTTTAAGCCACAGTATCATTTATTCATATTTCTTATGTTCTTGCAACGTCTCCTGAGTTTACTTTTCGTTTAATTGCTTTCTCCAAAAAATACTTTCAGTGTAAGTCTTTGTGCGGAAAATCTTTCAAAACTATTTCTGTGTATTGGAAAACTGACTTGGATGAGAAAGTTTTTATAATTAAAGGAAAGGAACTCTAAATCTAGAATGTTGTATCAATCTACACTCCTATTCCAAGGAATGTTCTCCGTTCTTGGTAATTAGATTCATTAAACGTGGAGCCGAGCACATGCCACCAGTGGTCCTCAGGACACCAGATGTCCTGATTTTTTTTTTTTTCAATCCATGACTCAATTTTATTTATGTGAAAATAGATAGTCACAGGCCAAATGCAGGACATTGATGGGCTTAATCTAATTATTACTGAGGCTGCTGTGGAGCATATTAACTCCAGACATCCTTCGGGCCTCCTGTCAGCTGCTCCTAAAATAAGCAAACCTTCCCAGAAAGTGGAGAGCATGACTCTGGCCGCAGTAGCCACGGGACTAAATCCCTGAAGTCTGGAGATACTGCCCACGTGACAGTCATTCACACACACGAGCATCATTTTAAAAGAATTTAAGAAATTGGATTTTGGTGAAATCTGTGCCTACAGGAGGTCTCCAGAAAGTTCAAGAAAATACATATTATGGAAAAAAACTTCCCATCCCTCAATACCTTGTAAGTAAATACAGTAAATTGCATGCTTACAGAGAAACTTATCTACTGCTAACGTGAACTGCTCATGCTCTAAAGTCTGCATCTACTCTCACATCTGTAACACAGAAAACAATTAGTTACTGTGCTCTTTTAAAATTGTTACTCTTAAAGGTTCTTTTCAAGGTAAAAACTCCCATAAATAGGTTCCCTAACATTATCTGTCATTCAACAAGAGTGCATGGACCACCTGCTAGGTTCCAGTTCTCATTCTGAATTCTGGGAATGCAAAGATAGGGAGACCCCTCTCTGCCTGTGAGGAACTTGCAGTCTTCTGGCCGGGTTTCCAGGCCTTTCCTCGCCTGGGGGGGTCTCCCAGAAGCAACCCCTCCATGTCTTCATTACTTTGCCTTCGGGAAAGCTCCTGATTGGTCAGACTGATCGGCTCGAGCCAACAAGTTTTACTCACCGGTACCTTTACCTCTCATAGGTCATCCACACGATTCATACAAAATTCTCTTGAGAAGATCTGTGTACTGAGTTACCTCGTTTTTAAAATGTATTTGGGGCCAGGTGTCCTCGGTGAATTTGTACCCATTTACGAGCAGGTGGTAGATGTAATGGGCTGAGAAGCAGTAGGAGCGGGCGTAGGCCTCGTTGAAGTTGGGAATCAGGTGTGCGAGCTGAAATGGATGTTACAAAGATCTGACATGTATGCAGTGTTCACGCTAGCCAAAGCGATTTGGCAGATTGAATGTGATCTCAAACAAAATACTAAAAACACTCTTCTCAGAGCTGGAAAAAATGACCCTAAAATTCATGAAATCACAAGAGACTACAATGATAAATGATAATCCTGGCGATATCACAGTATCTGATTTCAAGACATATTACAGTATACTTCTAATCAAACCAGCCTGGTACTGGCATAAAAATAGACATGTAAGCCAATGGGACAGATTAGAGACCCCAGAAATTAATCCACTGGTCTGTAACTAACTAATCTTTGACAAATGAACTAAAATCACTCCTTGGAGACGGGAACAGTGGAGCAGGGAAAATCAGATCTCTGCACGCAGAAGTATAAAACAAGACCCTTAACACCCTTGACAAAAATCAAGTCAACAGTGGGCCAGGGCTCTAAACCCAAGAACTGAAACTATCGATTTCCTGGAGGAAAACAGGGAGAACATGGCAGGCATTGGCACAGGCAAAGATTTGGCTGAAACTCTAGAAACACAAGTAATACAAGCAAAAAGTGGATACATGGTATTACATCCAAGAAGCTTTTGTGATTTTTCTACTTAGGAGCTGTTGAATTCTTTGTTCAGTGGAGATTTGAGCTCATGATGGTAAATTGAAAGTATGACCTTGTAAGAATTAAAAGAAAAATGAAAAAGGAAGGAGGTGGGGGTGTGGGAGAAGGATGGAAAGTACCATTATGCTCTTAAATATAGTATATTTGAAATCTGTTCCTTTTATATAAACAAATAAAAGGAAAAAGAGAAAGAAATTCTGAATGGTGTGTAGATTTAAAAGAAATTTACTTATTTTTATTTGAAAGTTGGAATTGGGCCTGGTATGATAGCCTAGTGGCTAAATCCCTGGGATCCCAAATGAGTGCCAGTTCGCGTCCTGTCCAAGTATCCCATGTGGGTGCTGGTTTGTGGTTCAACTGCTTCACTTCCCATCCAGCTCCCTGCTTGTGGCCTGGGAAAGCAGTCCAAGACGGCCCAAAACCTTGAGGCCCTGCACCCGTGTGGGAGACCCGGAAGAAGCTCCTGGCTCCTGATATTGGATTGGCACAGCTTGCTTGGGGAGTGAATCAGTGGACGCAAGATCTTTCTCTCTGTAAATCTGACTTTCCAATAAAAATAAATAAATCTTGAAAAAAAAAAAGTTAAAAAGAGAGCTACAGAGAGTGAGAATTTCCGTTTGGTAATTCACTCTCCAGATAGCTGTGACAGCAGTGGCCGGAGCCGAGAGCCAGGGACTTCCTGCAGGTCTCCCATGTGGGTGCAGGGCCTGAGCCTTGGGCCATCTGCTGCTGCTTCTCCTTGGCCAGTGGCATAGAGCCTGGTCAGGAGTGAAACAACTGGGACTCAGACTGGCACTTCTACGGGATGCCAGTGTCTTAGGTAGGAGCTTCACTCGCTATGGTGCAATGCCAGCTCCACAGGTGTGCTTCTTAATGCATACTTCAGAACACCTTAGATCAACACTCATGTTTTTTAAAAATCTCATCACCCCAAATTTTATAATAAAAATGGCTCATAGAAAAGTTAATAAAAAAAGTTCATAGAAAACATACATTATGAAAAACTATGAATGGGCCTGGCACCATAGCCTAGCAGCTCAAGTCCTCGCCTTGCATGTGCCAGGATCCCATGTGGGTGCTGGTTCTAATCCTGGTGGCCCTGCTTCCCATCCACCTCCCTGCTTGTGGCCTGGGAAAGCAGTAGAGGATGGCCCAAAGCCTTGGGACCCTGCACCCGTGTGGGAGACCTGGAGGAGGTTCCTGGCTCCTGGCTTTGGATCTGTGCAACTCTAGCCATTGAGGTCACTTGGGGAGTGAATCATCAGATGGGAGATCTTCCTCTTTGTCTCTGCTCTTCTCTGGATATTTGACTTTCCAATAAAAATAAATAAATCTTAAAACAAAAAGAAAAATTATGCATGGATTTCAGATTTTTTGTTTTGCACAAAGAAAACTTTAATCCCATTTCCATGAATTTTTGAAGTATCCTCATGATTATACAGTTGTGCAGCATAATAAATATTTCTAAACCTTATCACATAATTATAATCTGTAAATACCCTGAGTGCTGCTTGCCTACTTACTGTCCTAATTATCCATGTGGTTGTAAAATTAAACCATAACACAGGTTTGGGATAGGTTTCCTTTTTATCTATTTAGTTAGTTTTACTTTTTTGAGGGATTTAATTACACGAAAGGCAAAAGTGAGAGAGAGTATTTTCTGTCTACCGATGAACTACTCCCCAAATGGCAAAAATGGCTAGGGATGGATCTGGTCAAAACCAGGAACTAGCGCTCGGTCCTGGTCCCCCCATGGGTGGCAAGGGCCTGGTGGTTCCCTCCCCTGCCCTCCCAGGCACGCCAGCAGGGGGCGGGTCAGAGGCAGCATAGCCAAGACTCCAACCAATGCTGCGGTACGGGTTCCTGACATCACGCGCGGCAGCTTAATCCACTCTGCCATAAACCAGCCACAATTCTCGTGTAATCTCCGTTTTATAGATGTGATAGTAGTGGGAGCGTACAAGAACAAAATGGGTGTGCACGCACACACTCTTCTGACGTGGCCATCGTTCCTTTCTCTGTAAAATACTGACCTGACTCCAATGCAGGGAGCACAGGTACCAGGTGCTGGAGTTGAAGTCATACAGAGAAAAGCTTCCTGAAAGATTCAGAGCGTTGGCCGTGTAGTAGAATCCAGCAAAAGCCTGTGGACAGGTGGAACAGAAAACAATTAGTGCTTGGATTGGGCGTTGTATGGGCACATCAAGGCGGGGAGTGAGTCAGTGGGTGCCAGGTTACAGTACAGCCAGATGTGAAGCAAATGTTTGACAGGAGGTGGGTTTTGTTCTCACCACAAATGACCCTTGAACCTTTGGTTGATAAACTCCATCAAAGGAACATTCTTGTCCATGTTGGCAAGCATTGAAGTCAAAGATGGAAGCCACTTTCTCCCTGCACAGTTGTGGGTCCCCAGTTCCTTCAAAAGTGATGACGTCCTTGGGGTTGTAACTCGCCGGCCTCTGCTCCATTGTACACAGACTGTCAAATATCTTCCCCATGGTGAAGTTGGCAGTGTAATTCCAAGGGTAGCAGGGATTGGTGAGCTGGGTTGTGTTGGGAGCATTCTGTGGGTGTGGAAGGAAGGTGTTAGGAAGCAGCTTTTGTCTAGGACTACTGATTTCCCTGTTGCAGATTCTCCTTATCATTACCGTCCCGTGCTAAGAGAAAAAACAGTACTGATCTGCATCAGTTTGACTCAGTCTCAGCTTGTCGGGATGACTCTGTTAGAGGCAGGAGAGCAGCGTCATGTGGGACAGCAGACGCAAGGCTGGGCTCTCTCACAGTGCCGGATGAGCCCCTAAGGCGGCTCTGGGAGGCACGTCTTATGAACTCCACTTTGATGTGAACACAGTCCCTTTGACTCATCATGTAAAAATTTTGAGAAAAAGGAAGAGAGAGAGAGAGAATGAATATAGTCTGTTTTGCTGGTTCATGTCCCAAAATGCCAAGGCAAAGCGAGGGACAGGAAAGCCAATGCAGGTCTCCTGTGTGAGCGTCCTGAGGCCACTCAACAGCCATCACCGCTGTCTCCATGGCCTCATCACCAGGAAGGTGGAGTCAGGAGCCAGAGGCAGGTGTGGAACCCAGGCACCCCAATATGAAGGCAAGCTAAATGCTGACCCCTAATTGATCATCTTGAATAGCATATTATCTGTCTCCCTAGGAAAAGCATCAAAAGGGGAAAATAAGCATATATTATGAAAATTAAGTCTCCCTCCGACTCTCAGCCCCTTGACCCTTCTGTGGAAGCAGTCTTTGCATGTCCTTCCAGAGATTTCCATGTACATGCAAGTGGGGTTTCCTCTCATCTTTCCTTTCTCGTTTTTCAAACCTTAGATGATGGCACGTTGTATATACTGTTCTGCCCTTTGCAGGGCAGGCATTTGGCCTGGCAGTTCAGAAGTGGTTGGGGTGCCCACACCCAACTCTGGAGTGTCTGGGTTCAGTACCTAACTCCAGCTTCCTGCCAAGGGGGACCCCGGGAGGCAGCCGTGATGGCTTAGCTAGTTGGGTTTGTGCCACTCCCATGGTACACCGAGCTAGAGTTCCTGGCTCTGGCTTTGGTCCTGGTCACTGTGTGTGTTTGGGGAATAAACGAGTAATGGGGGTGTGTTCTCACTCCCTGACTCTTCCTCCTCTCTCTCTCTTTCCTTTTTTTTTTAATTTATTCTCTTCCGTGATCCTGTTTTGTATGTATAGATTCTCCTCTTCCCCTCCTTCCCTCTCCCTCCCCTCACCTCCCCCTCCCCTCCCCCCTCCCCCCTCACACCTTCCCCTCTCCCCTTCCCTCTCCCCTCTCTCCTCTCCCTTCCCCCTCTCTCCTCTCCCCCTCCCCCCTCCCCTCCCTCCCCCTCCTCCCTCCCCTCCCCTCCCCCCTCCCCCTCCCCATATGACAGCAGTATATTCCTCCCACAAGTTACAGGTTCAACATTCTGCTACCCATGTGCACCATGATGTAGGTACAGACAAAGGCAGAACATCTAGCATCGTAGTACTGCTCTTTTTCTTTATATGTTTATCCACCTCTCTTCCTTTCAAATAGATAAATGTAAAAAAATATGTATCTCTGAGATCTTTTCATGCATAGTGCATGCACATTGGCTTCGTTCTAGTTGACGCATGATATTTCACTGCCCAAATCAGTAGAATTTATTTTAAATTTATTCTTTAGATGAACACTGAAGTGTTTTTCATTTTGTCATTGCAAGCAAATATCTTGTTAAACCTAAGTATTTTATCCATTTACAATTTATGTGATATGAAAACCAAGGTGGAGGGGCCCAGTTCAGTAGCCTAGTGGCTAAAATCCTTGCCTTGCACGTGCCAGGATACCATATGGGCACTGGTTCTAATCCTGACTGCTCCATTTCCCATCCAGCTCCCTGCCTGTAGCCTAAGAAGACAGTAGAGGATGGCCCAAAGCCTTGGGCCTTGCACCCACAGGGGAGACCCAGAAGCAGCTCCTGGCTCCTGGCTGTGGAAGGGCTCAGCTCTGGCCATTGGCGGCCACTTGGGGAGTGAACCAGTGGACAGAAGGTCTTTCTCTCTGCACCTTCTTCTCTCTGTGTATCTACCTTTCCAGTAATAAATAAATAAATCTTAAAAAAAAGAAAAAAAAATCAAGTTAGGGCCTTGATTTTGCATCCTGTGATAGTTTCTAAACATGTCTGTTTCTGCCCGTGGAATCCCCTTTCTAAGGAATTGGATTTAAACTCTGCTGAACTGCAAAGCCACCAAGGCACTCTGCTTCCTCTATGGTAAAATCTTGACTTAGATATTTTTCTAGTCCTTTAATTGTAACAATGAAGAAACCGAGGGACACATCAAAACAGTGCAATGATTTCACAAAGGCAGGGACAAGATTCCACACAGAATCCCTCAGAGCTTTTGTGCTTCTCCAGCACACTCAGACGAGTGTCATCCAGAAAGTTCTTCCCATGATTGCAGAGGAGGTAAGCAGGTCTCTTTCTACATCATGAAGTGAAAAAAGAAAAACTACGATCTTCCAAAAATTGATATACCTCGTCTGTAATTTAGATCACCCTGAGTTTGAAATATTGGTTGAAAAAATATGTATCAAATCAGTTAACTGGCTATCTAACACACAGGTCCAAATGAGCCAGTATTATACTTTTTTTTTAAAAAAAGATTTATTTATTTTTATTGCAAAGACAGATATACAGAGAAGAGAAGAGACAGAGAGGAAGATCTTCTGTTCAATGATTCACTCCCCAAGTGACCACAACTGAGCCAGTCCGAAGCCGGGAACCAGGAACTTCTTCCTGGATCTCCCACACAGGTGCAGAATCCCAAGGCTTTGGGCTGTCCTTGACTGCTTTCCCAGGCCACAGTAAGGGAGCTGGATGGGAAGTGGGGCTACCGGGATTAGAACCGGCGCCCATATGGGATCCTGGCCCATGCAAGGCAGAACTTTAGCCTCTAGGCTACCGCGCCGGGCCCAAGTATTATACTTTAAAAATACATAAAAAAGTCTGAATTATTTCTGAATTGGCCCATAGAAGAAGCTAAGTAAATATTAACTCTCTTATTTCTTGTGTTTGAGTTATTTGTTATGGCATTCTTTAGAAATAATTAGCCAGTGTGCCAAGTTTGGCCTCTCAGCATTCAACAATCTTTAGCATTTAACAAACTTCATTGACCTTAGTGCTGGCATGGCACTGTCAGAAGAGGGCCAAGCTGTCACCTTGAAAGAGAAAAAAGTTCACTAGAAAAGTACAACATAAGCTGATGTTAGCATAAACCAAATTAAACTTGGGGAGAAAAGCTGGTGAACTATTAGTAATGATGGTAGAGTTTAAACCACAAAGAAGCTACACTGAACAGCAAGGGCACAGAACCAATGCTGAGGTATTGGTATTATAAATTTTATTGGTATTTTATTTTATTGGTATTATTGGTATTATAAATTTTATTGAAATGTACAAGTATAGAAATAGACAAAGATATTTTATAATTTTGAAAAGAAATTCATGTTAGTAATCCAATTTTTATTAAATTAATATGTGAACCAATGCAGTTGTAATCACAATATCATTAAAAAATTCTATTACTAGTTAAGATGGTTTTGAAGTTCAAAATGAGCCTCTAAGAGCAGAAAAACAACTTCAAGTGGAAGAACAGGACAGTGGCCCGGGAATGGTAAACAGATGCACAGGACAGAATAGAAAATCCAGGAATAGATCCTTATTAGCTAAGATCTTATTATTGAAATGTCTTGCAGTCTCTGAAGTTTAAAGATTTCAAAAAGTCATCACAACATGGGTGGGGATCTGAATGACTTTAATTTTATTGGACGCTTGCCTATTTGTTCATTTCAATAAAAAAAAAAAAAAGAATCTGCCTATCCTTTGGTTCTATGCTGCAGAAGTGAAATCTGCAAATCTGCAGTCCCTAAGGTAACATGGGCAAGGGTCATTGTGCTACTGGGATAGCAGCAAAAGAGAACATAGCCTGCTGTCCACCAGGGGGCGGCCGTGATACATTAAGGGGGCCCCATGGGTAGAAAACAAGTTACATATTGATTTGGGAGACACATCACACTGTGCGCCCTGATGCTCTCAGTGCATGGACTGCGGGATGCTTCCCTTATTCTTAGCTTAACAGCCTTTTGTATGGTCAGAAGTTTTTCTAGTTAGGATGTATTTTGTCTAATCGTTTTAGTTGTTTGTTTTGTACAGTATCTAGGGCTCAACATCACGGTACAGCAGGTTAACACGGCTGCCTGCAATGCCAACACCTCATATTGGATCACCAGCTTGAAAATCCTGGCTACTCCACTTTATTTATTTATTTGAAAGGCAGAGTTACAGTGTGAGAAGGAGAGAGAGGGAGAGATCTTCCATCTTCCGGTTTACTCCTCCAGTGGCGGCAACAGCTGGGGCTGGGCCCTTGTGAAGCCAGAAGGCAGGAACTGGATCACCCAGGGACTTGGGCCATCCTCCTCTGCTCTCCCAGGCTATTAGCAAGGAGCTGAATCAGAAGTGGAATAGCCAGAATTTAACTGGTGCCCACAGGTGGAGGTTTAGCCTGCTATGTCATAGCACCAGCCCCTGCTCCACTTTTGAGCCAGCTTGCTCTAATGCCTGGGAAAGCAGAAAGCAATGACCCAAGTACTTGAGTGCCTGATATCCGTGTGAGACGTGAATGAAGTGCCTAACCCTGACCAGGCTTTTGCAGCCATTAGGGAGTGAACCAGCAGATGGAAGATTTCTCTTGTGCTTTGACTCTCTCTGTGTCCTCTGCTTTTCAATTAAACAAAAATAGATAAACTTTTTGAAAAATTACAATATTTAGACTATTATGTACCCACTAAAACTAATTTCAAAGGATATTAGCAACAGAAAATTGTTCATGCTATGTTCTTAAGTTAAATAAAACTACATATATGCTATATAAGGCCAAGTTTATAAATACACAGTCAAGCATGCAAAGGAAAAAATGGAATAAAATGTAATAGTATGTTAGTAGCAGTTATATCTTTCTTTTTTAAAGGTTTATTTATTTTTATTGCAAAATCAGATATACAGAGAGGAGGGGAGACAGAGAGGAAGATCTTCCGTCTGCTGCTTCATTCCTCAAGTGGCCACAATGGCCAAAGCTGAGCAAAACCAAAACCAGGAGCCAGGAGCCCTTCTGGGTCTCCCCTGTGGGTGCAGGGTCCCAAGGCTTTGCACCGTCCTCGACTGCTTTCCCAGGCCGCAAGCAGGGAACTGGGTGGGAAGCGGAGCCACCAGGACAGAAACCAGCACCCGTATGGGATCCCAGCACAGGCAAGGCAAGGACTTTAGCCATTTGGCTACTACGCTGGGCCCAGTTAATTCTATTTCTAGGAAAAATAATTTATGTTTTCTAAATGTGTTTCACTCTAAACTGAACATGATACACTCTAAAACTGGTAGGAAATAATCTTAGAAAGGGAAAGAATGAAAGTGGCTCTGTCATGCTATCAGAGTGACACCTAAGCCCTGAGGCACCTGTATTCATACGAATACAGTTGGCAAAATATATATCCAGATATCATTCTCACCACGCTAGACAGCTCCTAATATGGTAGAGAGTAAAGGAGATCCTCGCCTGCAAGTTTAGTGAGCCAGTGTTCATGACGCAATAATTTGTATGAGCTTTCCGAGTCAGAGCTTGGCAACACACATCTCACCCTTGGAAGTGCTGGTCAGGCAGGCATGCACCTGCCCGCGGTGGGAGGCATCCTCTGCTCTGGATGGCTTCCCACACCTGAGTCAGAAGTCTCCCAGGCAGAGCCACGTTGGCACACACCCAGAGGGCACCCGTGTCTGTTTTCCGGGGTTCACGCCTCCCCTGCCCTGGGCCTGCACTTGTGTCTGGAGATCTGCGTTCTCAAGCCGACTTGTGACCTGAGGGAGGTAGAGTATTCGCTTCTCTTCTATGGCCTGCTGAGTACATGGGCTATAGGAGCGCACACCGCTTGGGGCTGTAAGAGGAGCTGGAGGAAGGGGAGACATTCAGCGTGGCTGGAAAGAAAAGGAGTTGGAGCCGAGAGGATTGTTCAGAGCTGTTCTCCCAGAAGCAGGCAGGTTGGCCGAAATAGCTTAAGCGGCAAGTGTGGAAGCCAGGTGGCTCTGGAGCCCCTGTGCCCTTTACTGTGACTGAGTAGGGGAGGTCTGAGAGCCTGGGGCCGGGGAAGAAGAGGGTTGTGCTGTGTGTGGGTCCTCACATCTGTCCTTCCCATGCACACGTGTTGGAGCTGCAGCTTTTCATCTGGAGAGGGACTAGAACCAACCAGAGGGCAATTTCCTGAAAGTCATGACCTCTGGAGATGTGACTGCCGCTGCGCACAGTATGTACGCCAGCCGGTCCAGCTGTTCTGCGGGCCACGTGGCTGGAACACCCTGCTTCTGCTCTCCCGAACACTGGGGGGTAATCACTTGCATTCTGTCCAGGAGGCCCTTGCCCGGCCTCAGCCACTGCCCTCTAGGGTCCCATGGGCAGCCAGGGTCTGTGGCCCTTTCATCCTAACAGTCCAGCCCTGGCTGAGATGGATGCCCTCTGAATGCTAGGATCTAGGACCTGCATCACTGATGCAGCCCACTTGCATGTCCCATCCACTCCAGTCACAGGTGGATGCCTGAAGCATCCTTCGGTGCCCAGCACACAAGGAATCACTGCCCAGCATAAAGGAAATGTGGTTGAAAGCCCTGCCCTACTACCACACGGAGCCTGCCTAATATACACCCCTCCAATCCAAGGCTGAGCCCAGGGCAGGCCCTGCTCTCTCTTCTTTCTGCCAATATTTAACTGTGACCAATGATATTTTGTTTTTGTCTGTATACAGAGAAGTCTCAACATTCTTGGGCTTATACGTAGCTACTGGTTTAAAACAGTTGGAGTCCATAATGGGAGTCCAGGTCCTGAATCATCTATAAAACATCTGGAACTTGGGAGCTTCCCTGGGCAACCTACTCAATTCTCTAGAAATGGTCAACACAGTTGAGATAGAAGAACAAAAAGCAGAGACAGGAAGAGAGAGATAGGAGATAAAACACAAGCAGACTTGGTTCCTTGGAAGAAATTTGGAAAATGCCATAATTTGGGTCAGTGCAATGCCTCAGTTGGTTAATCTTCTACCTGTAAGCGCCTGGCTGTTCCATTTCCCATCCAGCTCCCTGCTTGTGGCCTGTAAAGATAGAGGCTGGCCTGGGCCCAGTGCAGTAGCCTGGTGGCTAAAGTCCTTGCCTTGCCTGCACTAGGATCCCATATGGGTGTTGGTTCTAATCTTGGTGGCTCTGCTTCCTATCCAGCTCCCTGTTTGTAGCCTGGGAAAGCAGTTGAGGATGGCCCAAGGCCTTGGGACCCTATACCCGCGTGGGAGACCTGTAGGAAGCTCCTGGCTCCTGGTTTCGGATCGGCTCAGCTGCAGCTGTTGCAACCACTTGGGAAGTGAACCAGCGGATGGAAGATCTTCCCCTCTGTCTCTCCTCCTCTCTGTATATCTGACTTTGCAATAAAAATAAATAAATTAAAAAAAAAAAAGGAATAGAGGATGGCCCAAAGCCTTGGGACCCTGAATACACATGGGAGACATGGAAGGGGCTCTTGGCTCGTGGCTTTGAATCAGCTCAGCTCTTGCCATTGTGGCCATTTGGGGACTGAACCAGCAGATGGAAAATCTGTTTCTGTATGTCTCTCCTCTCTGTCTTTCCGATAAAAACATTTTTTTAAAAAGAAAATGCCATAATTTCCAATTGTGATCAAAAGGACAAATTCCACAAACATGGGGCACCCTACCCCTCTGCTCAGACCTTCCAGGGGACACCTGCCACTGCCCTCCCTGCCCCCACTCAGGTACCTGTAGGAGCATTGCCAGAAAGCGCTTCTCAGCCTCGTTCCTGCCGTAGCACTGGAAGCTGTGTGTGTACAGTGCGTACGTGTAGCCGTACAGGGACACCTGCATGATGTCATTGGTCTTCGTCTTCACCCTCTCTCCTGGCACAAAGGCTATCTGGGTGGAGGCACCACCTAGATCCAAGGCACCCGTGGTTTCCACTCCGTGTGGATGCACCCACATGTGCCACAGGTTCTTCTGCGTGGTGAGAAAAGCAAGTGAGGAAAAGGCTGCAGGTACCATCCCCTTCTGCCCATCTGCCCATTGGCAACCCTTGATTCATCTCCTGTCGCTAAGTAGAATAATATAGGGAACCCTCCGGCTCAGGTCTCTCCTGTCATTTCCAAGGGTACTGAGTTGAAATAGAGATGAGAGCAGGGCAGATGAAGTGTACGTAACAGGGACTGGCAGAGTTCAGGAGCCACGCTGTTGCTGTTGGCAGTCATCAGGCAGGAAGGGCCCGCAGTTCGGTGGGTGGGCAAGGAGGTCAGAAAGGAGCAAAAAACGGGCTAGTGTTCAAGTATGGAAGTTTCCCACATATTAGCTGTTGTTGGCAGTTAGTTTAAGAATTTAAAACCCCTTTGCAGGGGAACGAACTAGGTCTTGTGTGTTCTCTCTAACCGAGTGATGGTCTCCTGGAGTTGATTTTCCTCTACCCCAAAGGAGCAGGGAGTGCAGCAACTGGACAGTAAGGAGCCTGGGGACACAGAGAGGACTTGCTTCTTTCCCCAGGGACTGGGCAAAGCAGACCTCCTCGGAGCTCCGACGGCTCTGGAGTTCTTCCCAGGGGCCATTCTCTAGCTGTCCTCTGAAGACTTAGATCCCAGTGTTAAATTTAGACCCTGTTCCCACCAATTTCCCACAGTAAAGTGACCATAAACCCCTTCCCCATGTGTTTGATCCTGTCTACGATCCTGTGTTTCTTCCAAGCTATCTGTAAGTGTCTTTTCTTAGTTACTGTTTATTTCATGGGTGTTTCTCTAATGGCACTACATGATAGGAGTGACACAGAGCAGATGGCCCTCTTGGCAGGTACCTTTCTTAAGCAATCACTCCCTGGAGAAGAGATAAACAGGAAGAAATAAAAACCATGCATTTGTTTCCACACACCTCCAGGAAATTTCCCATTAAATAGTTGGCAGTAATCCATCCGTATACCCCTTCCTCTTGCCCAGAAATGATTTGAGCACCCCTAAAGTCAAAAGGCTGGGATCTGAAGTAACTTTGGATGCTTGCAAGGACTTCATTAGCTGCTGTTTCATTTTTCAACCTATTCAAGGCACAGAACACAAAAAGCTGAGTGCCCAGACAACACAGGGTGAACATGCACACTTTCCCATCCCCAGCTGCCTGCAGGGATGGCTTTCCAGCTGAGCTCACTACACGAAGCCCCTTTGGCAAGATGAAGCTTCCCAGGAAGACTGTGAAGGCCAGAGGCATTTGCCACTTGTTGAACTGCCAAGGCAGGAAAACAGCTTTCCATAAAAGCATGACCTCGACTCCCCTCCCCTACCTGTTCCTGTTCTACTCTTTAGTAATCAGCTGGTCAAAAGAGCCTCCTTCTTGACTACTGTTGCTTTGTTCCAGATCAGCAGAGGAAGAGATGGGTGAAGGTGTAAGGGTTGTTGTCTCTTGGGGGCACCACAGAGAGGAGCCCTCATCAGACCAGAGGAAGGTGAGCTTAGAGGGAAGGAAGCAAGGAGAAGGGTTATGCTCCAGCTGCTCCTGCTCCACTTTTTGGGACGGCTGCATAATGAGAGACATGACAGTTGTCATGGGCCACTGGAAACCATGGGTGTGCTGACCCACAGGGGAGTGGCAACATGGCGCAGGGTCGTTACAGCGTCTGTCCGTTTGTGGCCATTCTGCCCTACAAAAGAAGGCTTATCTTGGAGACTATTCCCTTTGTCGTCAGTGGGTTGAGAAAGTTGGAGATACTAGTTTGCTGCCGTTGGCTCAGCAAGAACAAGAAGCAGCGCTTCAAGCTGCAGACAAGGCCAGGGCAGCTGCATGAACAGGCACCATGGAACTGAGGCTGCTTTGTGATTCATACTTTTTTCTAAAAAATTTCATGCTCATGTTACCATGCCTCTGTTTGTTCATTCCTTCATATTTTCTTCATGTCCAGACATATATAATTTTCAGTGACTGATATCATAGAAAAATTGCCTTTGAAGAAGAGGAAATATCATCTTCTGGTGAGAAACCCTTAATTCCAGTCCTTGGAGCAGCCTCCACCCTGACCCGATTTCAATTTAGCGGGGTTTTTTTTTTTTTTTGGAACTAATTTTATTTTATACCAAAGTCAAGGAAAAATGTAACAGAGGAGAAGAATGGAAACACATTGGAGAACAGTGAGGCTGGCCTGCGCATGTGGAAGGAATGGATTGATCAACTGAGACGTGAGGTTTGTTTTTTAAAAATTCCAGAGGTTTTGTCTACTCTCCCTACCATCAGACATTCCAGCATCTTCCAGCAGCATCCAGAAACATGCTGTACATAAGGCAGAAGCCACACAGCTGTGGTAGCACTTACTACAATGTTTAGCTCATTGCTTACACATCTCAAAATACCAGGAATTCAAACCAACTTCTATTTTTCTAGAGCCCTGCCAACACACCCATGAGTGGATTGCATCTCCGTCCCCTCCCCAGGCCCCTGCAGAAGTCTCAGTGGAATGACCAAGGGAGAGGTAATCAGTTTTAGAAATATCTTCCCAGATATTGAAGCAAAGACTAAAATTGTTCTAGCCTCTGAACTCCGAGTTTGTGGCAGAATTTGGAATTCTTTGGGCATGCTGCCAGAAATAGAGCCACATTGTTGGTTGTCTTCATCGAGTGGACCCCGTCTGCCATTCTCCCCTTTACCTCAGCAAGCGCATCCCAGCCGTGGCTCCCAGATGGACACTGGTAGATGGGTGGAGATGGCTTGGGATCTGCCCCTTGACCTTGAGCATGCAGTCTTCAAAGACTGTGGGGATATCTTGGGGGTTGTTCTCATAGCTGGAGATCCCAGAGCCTGAAAAGCAGTAAGTCTGCATCTCTCAACATTCTCAGGAACCAGTCACAGTTTTTAAAGGAAAGGAAGAACTGCTTTGGAAATGATTGAGTTCGGGCAGGGAGTTGAAAGCAGTAGATGTGCTAAGTCCCGTGCATGGATCTGTTCACTCCCAGCCTCTGGGAAGAATGAATTGTGAAAGTGAAGGACTGATCCACAGCTTGTTTTAAGGAATGTTTTCACTTGGAAATTTCAGCTATCCACGGCAGTAGAGAGAACAGTATAATAAGCCCATCCCTGTGCATCCACCCCCAGCTTCAACAGTGATTGACATTTTTTAAGACAAGATTTATTGTTATTGGGACAGCAGATTAGATTTGCAGAGAGGAGAAAGATCCTCCATCTACTGGTACACTCCTCAAATGATTGCAATGGCCAGAGCTGAGCCGAACTAAAGCCATGAGCCAGAAGCCCCTTGCCGGGTCTCCCATGTAGGTGCAGGGTCCCAAGGCTTTGGGTCATCCTCAGTTGTATTCCCAGGCCACAAGCATGGGGCTGGATGGAAAGTGGGGCTGCCAGGATTAGAACTGGTGCCTATATGGAATCTTGGTATGTACAAGGCGAGGGCTTTAGCCGCTAGGCTACCATGCCAGGCCCTTCTCCGACCATTTTTAAGACTTAATACAGATTTTGTATTAGCCATCTTTTAGATAAATGGTAACTTATTTTATATACCTTTTTCCACTTTACCTTTTTGCATTTAGCAATATTTCCTAGTGACCCATACATAGTAGGACATAAACATCCCTTCTTGCTTTTTGCACTTGCATTGAATGGCATTATGTGAATGTAATCTGTCAATCCAGAATCTGAATTTAAGTAAGTCCATGTTTAGGAAAGAACAAAGTGCAGGACCAACAGGGAAGATGGAAAAATATGAACCCTCAGTAAAGTTCTCTGGTATATTCAGAACTGATAGAGCCTTCACCTTCTTGCACTGTTCTTTCTCAGCTGTTCCCACCCGTTTTCCAGCTAGGACAAACCATATGAAAACTGAAAATTTTAACTAGAATTTTTCCTTGGATATGTCTATTAAAGTGCACAGCACATGGATTTCATCTTTGGTGTTACAGAAGCAAGGACAGGCTTTCCCAACCTTGGCCAAGAACAGAACCTCTAACCTGGCCTCACTCCCTGGAGGAATGGCCTCCTATCCCTGACAAAAGACAGCAAAACAGGGCCCAGCTTGAAGCATCCTGCAGCATGGTCCCAGAAGTTCAGAGTGGAAGGAGTTGTTTGTTTTTTTCAAATAAAATTCTTAAAATAAAGACAGTGCATATATGTGTGTAGTATTAACATATTACCTGTGACTGTTTTTGTGCTAAGAGCCAGAGTAGTTATGACAGACATATGGCCCATAAATCTGCAATAATAATTATAATGCCATTGTTTACAGGGAAGTTTGCTGTCTTCTAGCTTTGATAACTGATAGGCATCTTCAATTTATGTGACCCAAACCAAATTCCTCTGATCCCCTCACCTACTCCACTCTTAGTGGCCCCTAGTGTCGCTGGTTTCAGCTGATGCTTGTTATGAGTCACACATAGTTGAACTGATGGTTCACACATCAACCTGGAAGGCTTACGTGAAATCCATCCTGACATCTTGTTGGCTTGTACTTTCAAATATCTCTTAAATCTGGGCCTTTCTCTTTCCTCCAGAACCAGTGTTTCGCAACCTTGGCACTAGTGGCATCTTAAACTGGCAAATCCTCTGTGGTGGGACTGTTCTGTGCACTGCACGGTGCTGGGTGGCAGCCCTGGCCCCTATCCACTAGATGCCAGCAGCATCACTGGCTCCGTGTGACAACCAAAAATGCCCCCAGTCGTTGCAAATGTTTGCAGAATGGGGAGGAGGGCGACACTCTGCACATTGGCAGACACTGATCAAGGCAAGCCTGACGTCATCCGTCACCTGCAGTGACCCAACAGCCCTGCTTGGTTTTCCTGCTGCTCATCTCGGCCCCTGACCCTACATTCTGTATCAACAGAGCAACCCTTTAAAATCCTAAGTCACATCATTAGCTCCTTGATTAGACTATTCTAATGGCTTCTCCATAGACTGCAAAGATTTCTCTTTACTGCATGTCTCCCTGATATATTAAATACCCATTTAATATTTAATATCCTTCATGGGACGATCAGTTCCAGAAACCTACATCAGAGATTTTTGTATATTGTATTTGCGAGTTCCGAGTGCTAAGAACACCTCTTGACAAACAGCAAACACCCAACAAATGAGTGAACCAGTCATTGAGATCAATTTGCAAACCAGCATCTGTCTCTTTAGAAGAGGTACTGGGGCAAGCAAAATACAGACTGCTAGAGCTGGTCACTGGTTGGGAACTGGTTAGGAGCAAGACAAAATGGTGAAACCCTACAGTATATGCAAATCAAAGCTTATTTGCATCATGTTTCTTAAGGTTCCTAGATGGCAACAAGAGGCTCAAAACTCATGGGATACTGGAATTCACAACCCCATGAAAATAGAGTAGGAGGATGGTGGTGTGGCACATGACCCAACTGGCTAACCCTCCACCTCCAAGTGCCGGGATCCCATATGGGTGCCAGTGCTTATCCCAGCTGCTCCATTTCCCATCTAGCTCCTTGCTTGTGGCCTGGAAAAGCAGTCAAGGATGGCCCAAAGCCTTGGGACCCTGCACCCACACGGGAGACCCAGAAGAGACTCCTGGCTCCTGGCTTCGAATTGGCTTAGGTCTGGCTGTTGTGGCTATTTGGGGAATTGAACCAGTGGACAGAAGGTCTTTCTCTTTGTACCTTCTCTCCCTGTAAATCTGCCTTTCCATTAAAAATAAATAATTTTTTTTAAAGAAAACAATTGGAATTGCTATTTCAATACAGAGGGAACTGAACAAGTGGCATAAAAATTAACGGCTGGAACTTTGGCCAACTATTGGCAAAGGTTACTTTCTAATAGCCTAGCACCTGGTTCCTGAAGCATCCTTTTGAGGCATTTCAATGGTGGAGATAGTTCTGTTTAGGCTCCAGTAGAGCTTGAAGAATTTTTAACCACTGGCTTAGAAGAAAACTGTCCTGAACATCTCTTTTAGGAGAAGACAGTAGGAAACTGCAAAAGAGAATGAGTGGCAATCAGGCAACCAGGCTCAGCAAGGGACCAGCATTACCACAAGCAGCCCAAGCGTCTGAATCATTGAAAAGGCAGGGCGCAGTGAACTCTGGAACATGGGAGCAGCAGATGACTGGATCCCATCGGGACCCCAGGAAAAAGAAAGTTTCAAGGGCTTAAGCTTCTGGCCATCTTTACTGAGCGAGCGTTCACCACTCCCTGCAGATCGGCCAAGGCTGAAAAGTCCTGGGAAACTTGCAGCTTAGAAATTAGACACCGCAATTACCCTTGAAACAGCCACGTGGCCTTGAAGGGAATGACACTTGCCAGCCTTCAAGCCTGTAATTAAAGAAGCTGTAGTTGGTGGCCTTCTGGTCATTCTGAGTGTCCATGGGATGTCTGAGGCCACTGTGATCACAGGAGAAAAGATCCTTGATGGGTGTGTTCCAGGATCCATGACCTTGAACCTTGGTCAGTCAAATGTGGCCTCCAGGGTGGGTCCAGCAGCCTCTTCCTCTGAGAGGCAGCCTGCACTCCTCCCCATGAGGGCCTGACCTCTACCCCTGTAACCACAGGGAGATCGGGGTCACTTGCTGTCTGCAAAGAATGAAGGTCTTTTAACCATGGGACAGAGTAATTATTAGCCAAAGGATTCCACAGCGTAGTGCTCCGTGAATAATAACAGCTAGCACTTAGCACTTACTGCCTGCGTGCATCTGCTTCTTGTTTTACATTCTTTTTGTCATCCAATCTTCAAAGCCTATGGGGTAGGTGTTAACTTATTTAGAGATGAGGAAATCAAAGCTCAGAGAAGTGATCTAGCCTTCTAGATCACCCGCAGTGGGGATGTCTCAGTCGGTATCCTGCACTGCTCTCCCTCTTGCTTGAAGAAGGTGATCTGTCTTTAAAAGACAGCAACCTGCAGTCTTGTTTCATGCTTGGAGGTGAAGAAACGTCCCAGGAATTGGCCGAACAGACATGAGCTGGTAATTGGGTCAGAGCAGTGCTACCGATGCCTGTGTCTTGAGGGGAACGTTGCAAGCGATAGTCAGAAAACATCCAACTCCTCTGTTGTGTTGAAACTGAAGATGTGTCCTGCAGGTGCCAGTGGCCAGCTCCTTCAGCATTTGCCTCAGCTGCAGAAACCTGCATTGCTCAGGATCTTAATCTTTCTAAGTTGGCACAGATGCCTAATGACATTGGCAATGACTGTTTCAGCTCAGCTATTTCAAGGCACTGCAGGACAACTATGACAGCTTGAAGCTTCATCAGACTTGATATTGAAGTTGGACTTCTGCCCTGTCTTTCTGCTGCCTTAGCCGCCGCAGAAGTGGATCCCATAACTACCCAGCATCTCAATTCTGCCTCAACACTTGCTTCTAGAAGACCCAAGCTGCAACCCCATGTGCCTCATGGTGATAGTGCCCTCCTGCAAGGGCAGATGCTCAGAACACACCCAGGTTACCCAAAAAGACTTCAAGCTTCCCCCAGGGGGAGGTTAACCCTGCTTCCCAGCTTCTCAATGCCATGACCTCCAGGAAATTAGGTTTGGGCCACTTACTGCTGGGGGCTTGGAGAACAAGTATAAAGTCTAATCTATCTGACCATCCAGGACTCTCAAGTCTGGAAGCTCCAAGCCAACTCAAAGATCAAAATGCTCTAAAGCAGCGGAGTGCCTTTAAAAAAGATGTATACAGAAATATACGCACCAACTAATATGAGTATCTAGAACAAATAATTCATTGTAAAAGACAGGATAATAAAGTTTCTGCCAGATGAATATTATTATGACCTCAGAAAAGGGAAGGATTGATTTTGAAAACAAAACATACAATGGGCAAATCACCAAGGAGACTGGTAGTTATAAACATATAAACACTGAGAATCGCCAGCCATCAAAAGACACTGTGAAGAAACTAAAGAAATAAACTACAGATGGTGAGAAGACACTAGAAACAATCTAATGACTACATTCGCAAAGCATTCATATTCAAGGTATACATAGAGAGAGTCCCTATTAAAAAATTAAGACTCCCCATGAATCAGAAAGAAAAATCAATCAATTCAGTAGAAAAATAAGGAACAGGCGTTTCACAAAACCAAAAATAATTACAAGGGATGGAAGGATGCCTACCCTTATTATTAAGCATAAAAAGTACAAATGTCCATCATTTGGGGAAAATGAATGAGTTACAGGTACTCACATTGACACAGCTGAGTCTTAAAAACCTAACGTTAGTGAACAAAGAAAATCACAAAAAAATATGTATTTAATTACATGCTCCACTCTGTCACTGTGCCTTTTCAAATAAATAAGTAAATCTTAAGCAAAAAAACAATTGCATAAAGGACATTAAAAATGTTGGTAACTGAAGTCGGTCTTTGGGCCAGCAGTTTAGTCACTGCCTGTGCTGCTCACAGCTCATCTCATAGTGTGTAGGATTCACTCGCAGCTCTGCTCCCAACCTCAGCTAGTGCACACCGAGGATGCAGCAGCAGGCTGATTGCCTGGGCCTGGGCCACTCCTATAGAGACCCTATTCCAGTTCCCAATTCCTGGCTTTGTGGCCATTCGAGGAGTGAACCAGTGGATGGAAGTTTTCTCTCTCATTTACAAGGAAATGGGAGAAAGTTGAGGAAGGGAGAGAGCAAAGCAGGGAGGAAGGAAAGATGCTGATGAGATTCTGTTTCAGGTCTGGCAGCCCATTGGCCAAATCCAGTTGACTCTTTTTGTGCGGCCTATGAGATAAAAAGATTTTTATACTTTTTTAATGGCCAGGGAAAAAATGGAAAGAGTAGTATTTTTATGAGAAATAAATGAAATCCAACATTTCAGTGTCTACAAATGAAGCTTTACTAGAACACGGTAATTCTTTCATGTGCTTATTAGTTCTCCATCAACTCCTCATGCACGCCTCTGCCCTCAATACACCCTATTCCATGCTTGTTTTGTTGGAAAACAATTTGTCCATGGGTCTCTTGGATGTATGCCAGTCTTATGGACAGAGATGCTGGCTGCCATGTGCTCAAGGTTGTCTGCAGGGCAAGCAGTCACAGAAGACAAAGGTTGTCATTTCCTCTGCCGCAACATGCAGGCATGCTCACTGCTCACTACAAAGGCTACAGGTTTCCTAAACTCAGAACTCGTCTTAACACAACTCACTGCACGAGCATGTACTGTCTGGCTCTCTTGACAGAACTGGGAGTCAGAATCATTGCAAGAAGACACTAATACTCCGGCTACTGCTATTGCTGTAACAAACCACCCTTCATTTCTGACTTGGAAATATCGTGTCTCTTCTCAACATCCATGGAAGTATTTCAGGGTATCATTTCAGCCTATCCACAGTTGTTGACATGCCCTGCCCATGTCTACAGATGAGAAAACGGAGGCTCAGAGAAGGAAAGTGACTGTTGCTTAGGGTTGTTCCCTGATGAGTAGCTGCGCTAGCACAGTCTCCTGTTTCCCTGACTCCTCCTGCCCCAGTGCCCATTCCTGCCACCGGACAGCTTCTCAGGACCTCTCGGTCTCTGAAAAACCTGTATCCCGCTTTCCTATGAGCTGCCCTGAACCAGCTGGGTCCTTACCTTTCACTTTGCATTTGAAGGTTTCGCTGACCACTCCAGTGTCATTCTCTTTCTCTGCTGGCCACTGATAGACGTAGACGGTGGTTTTGGAAGACCCAGCATCCAGCACGATTCCATACTGAACAGAAAGGGAAGGAAGGGTCAGCAACATGCCAAGCGCTCCTTTCCCTGTCTGCCGCTGCACACCCTGCAGCCCTGAATCCACACTGTGTCATTTAGGTGGGGGCTGGCCAAAAAGAGAAGAGAGAAACAGAGACAGAGAGAGAGAGAGAGAGAGAGAGAGAGAGAGAGAGAGAGACATAGAAGAAAACTCCTATCTGTTGCTTTACTTCTGCTCCTCGAGTATATGTGACATCTGGGGCCAAACAGGAAAACTAAGAGCCAGAAAATTCAGTTACAATTCAGTCACTTAAGCCATCATTAGTATCTTCCAGGGTCTGCATTAATAGGAAGCTAGAAACTGAGGCTAGGGATGGGTGTGGAATCCAGGCACTCTGACATGGAAGGTGGGCTTCTTAACTGCTACGTTGAATGCCCATTATTTCCATTTGCAAGGCAGAGTTACAGAGAGAAAGAGAGAGACAGAGACAGATCTGCCACCCCGGTTCCATCCCCAAATGGCTGCAGCGGCTCAAGCTGAACTAATCTGAAACCAGGAATCAAGAGCCTCCTTCAGGTCTCCCATGTGGGTGCAGGAGCCCAAGCAGGAAGCTGGATTGGAAGTGAAACAACCGAGACTCAAACCAGTGACCAAAGGGGATGCTGGTGCCATAGGCAGAGGCTTAGCCTATTATGCCACGGCATCTGCCCCAACAATGATCTTTTCTTAACAGCATATTATAAACATCTCTCTCTCTCTGAGAATAAAAATAGACCCATATCATCATTTCCAATACATTCATCACATCCATTGTGAGATGTAGAATAATTTGTTTAACACTTAGGAGATTTCCAACCTTCTACTGTTACAAATGCTTGCTTCATTTGAAATGGGACTAAAAAAGCTTTGCTCTACTTTCCGAATCACAGCTTCTCTATTATAGTGAAATATAACATCCTGCAGACACTGGTATTTGCACTTGAGCAGTCTCTTAGCCTGTTGAATGCTGATCCGGATCCTGACATGACATCCACATGGTGAACAAGGGGATCATTGTTCACAGTCTGTCTCAGAAGAGACTCACTGTGAGAATGAGGTGCAGGTTTAAACTAAAAACCCAGGGGACCTGTGTTATGGCACAGAATGTAAAGCTGCTTGCTGAGACATGAGCAGCTCACATGGCACCAGTTCCTGCCCTGTGGCTCTGCTTCTACCAGCCCCCTGCTAATGGCCTGGGAAAGGCAGCGGAAGATGGCTCAAGCGTTTGGACCCCTTCCACCCATGTGGGAAACCCAGGTGGAGTGCTTGACTCCTGGTGTCTGCCTGGTCTGGCCCTGGCCATCGCAGCCATCTGAGAAATAAACTGGAAGACAGGAGAGAGCGCTTGCTCTAACTCAAACTTCCAAAATAAACAAATATATATATACATATATATATATTTGAATATATATACATATATATATATTCAAGCCCTGAAGGCAAGGGGGATCCAGGGAGCCCTGAATTGGGCACCTCCCTATCATCAGGCTGCCTTCTTTCTTCCTTGCTACTACAGGTCTGATCACCCCTATTCATACTGACCCTGTCATGCCTGGCACTGACCCTACAGATCCAGAGCAGAGAGGGTGCCTGCTTTCCCCTCAGCCTTTATTTCAACTCTTGATAAAGGATGCATAAAGCTTGCAGCTGCTGGGCCAAAACCAAAAAGAAGGAAAGGTATCGCTTCTCATCCGTAGCAACACCAGGACGCAGCTCTCACCAGGGTCTGGAACAAAACAAGACTTCACTCCAGGAGCCTAGGAAAATGGCTGCCCCCTCCAGCATCTCCTGAGATGTCAACAGGGGACAACTTTGAGGCCTGACTCTACTTCTAACACTGGTCTTCCCCCATCATCATTCACTTAAATTTAGAAAAGAAAAAAAAAAAAAAAAAAAGAAAATTGGTCTTTAGTTCTCAGAGCTCACACACCCACCCATCTCAGTGGAACTCAGTGGGGTTCTGTTAGAGAAAGAGGATGGGCATTGATTTCTTTCAGTTCAGCTAGACAGATGATACTTGGATGAAAATTAATAAATAACCCTCTGTCTAATGTATTACCAGAAAAAAAAAAACCCAACATGTGACTTGAATGTGGGTCTGAAGATACACTCAGGGGTTAACTGAAAACCAACAGTCTTTTAGTGCTGAGTTCTCTGGTCCAATACTTAAGGGCTATGCCGTCTCCTGTTAAAGGCAAAAGCAAAGGTCAAGAGGCGGGTGTTTAGCAGTTAAGATAATCACACCCTCTTTAGAGTGCCTGGGTTTGATTCCTGGCCCTGGCTCCTTGCTCCAGCTCCCTGCCTAATGCAGATCCTGGGAGGCAGCGGTGACAGCCCAGGGAATTGAGTTCCTGCCAGCCATGTGGGAGATCTGGATTGAATTTCTGGGTTTCAGCCTTGGCCTAGCCTTGGCCGTTACAGGCGAGTGTGGTGTGAACTAGTGGAGAGGTTTGTCTCTTCTAATTAGTCAGTGAATTAAAAGAGATGCAGGTTTTTGAAAACAAGGGTCTTTAACTCAGTTTTCTTAGATTTAATTATTAATACTGTTACTGCACCAAGGATAGTAGTAGTAATAAACATTGAGCACTTAGGTTGGGTTCTGCACAAAGTGATTTAATTCATGCTGCTACCTTTAAAGACGGATAGGATCGATCATAGGGCAACTGGGGTTTACGTAAGTAAGTCATGCTCAACAGCACAGAACTGGGATCCAACACACTATCCCAACTGTACTTATATCCCCCATGCTCTCACATAGTTCCAAGAAAGCCTAAGCTAATTACAGAATAGGTGTGTGATATGGTATTGCAGATTCCCTTTGTTTGGATAGAAAGTTCTTTGAAAGCACGCTCTTGGTAACATATATAGGAGCGGCTGGATGAAAGGTGACCCGATTTGTCCAAGCAACTTAGTGTTATCTTTAGAAAGAAGGAAACCAATGGTTCGTTTTTTGCTCTTAGCAGCAGCCAGGGCCAGGCCCTAGTGCAGCGGAAATTCAGGCTGCTGAGCAAGATTCCGGCGAAGGATCTTGACATAGCTGACTGTAGTTGAGCTAGGAGACTCATGACTGCACATGGGAATGTAAACTATAACAGCCCATGAAAACTGGACACAAAATAAGAAACTGTTATAGGCTGATCAGATCATAGCAAAGTCAGTCTCTGAGTCCTAAAGACTATGCAACTCCCTCCTGCCCTCGCCGCTAATCCCCCCTTGAGCAGTGACACCAGGAGGCTGTTAGAGGAGACAGATGACTGTCTGTGATTGAGGAGTGTGAAGGGTGAGACTCAAGAGGAAGATATCGGCAGATGGCAACTGTCAGCTACATACAAAAACAAAACAAAACAGAGCTCACGGAAAAAAAACTCTCTCTGCAATGACCTTCCTGCCACTAACACACAGCACAAAGGACAGCAGGCTCCCGAGGCCCTGAGAGAAGACACGTGGACTGTCCTCCTCCAAGGCTGTCATTCCGATGCTGCCTCAGCTGGCCAAGAGTGCTACTCCCTTCTGACATTTAATCACTCAGTTAAGCAGAATGGGCCATCGGAGCCAATCTTCCCTTATTGTACAACTTCCTGTCTCTTGCATCTGCATCAGGCTTGACAAAAAAAAAAAAAATAGTTTTGAGATTTCAACCCCCTCTTTGAATTGGCCTGTGGTTCCTCCAGACCCTTGTTTAGGCTGCTGTCTTCTGCTTTCTTTTCTTTCCTCCATAGCAGCTGTGCTGTGTTCAATCTGTGTAATCCTGAGACATGTCTGTCCTTTTCCTGTAACTTTCTCAGTTGAAAGACGGTGATAATAAGAATAATATATTTTCATGGCACAGTCACCGAGAGTTTCCTGCCCACATCTTCTTAGACCTTCCCACTGCTGTGTCCAGGCATCCACTCTGCACCTCTCAAGAGGCCCTCTAAGTGGCCCGAGCCTTCCTCAGCACACAATATGCCAGAAATGCGGGGGTGTTGACTTGTCCCAAGGAACAACTTGTCAACCCACGGCTGATGACAGCTGGCACATAAACGCTTGCGTAGAACACCTGAAGCACATGTCTCTAGGCCCCTGGCTGTGGGATTCTGCACCAGCTCCTCTCCAGGAGGATCCCTGGGAGGGCCGAGCCTCAGCTGCCCACAGCGCTAACCTGCTGGGTAGCAGGCCTCCACCAGCTGGCTGTCTTACCTCCCATCTCACTCCCCCATTTCCTCCACCTATGCTTTCTGGGATCCTCCCAGGGTGGCCTGAGTGAAAGTGAACTCATATGTTTCAGTGGAGGAACACAGACCACGTTGAACACGTGTGATCCTCTCAGTGGGATGTGATCCCCCTAGTGCCCTGGAACCTACAGTCAAGCAATGCTTAACGACAGGCATATGTTGTGAGAAAAGGTGTTGCTGGCCAATTTCACCATTGGAAACATCACAGAATGTGTTCAGATAACCCTACCCAGCACAGCCTACTACACACCTAAGCTACAGCATACCACAGCATACTCTCCCTGTCCACAAACCTGCACAGCATGTTACTGCACTGAAATTCAGCAGGCAGTTGTGACAAAATGGTGCTTGTGAATCTAAGCATATCTAAACATAGAAAAGGCATAGTAAAAAAAAAAAAAAAGGCATAAGAAATGCAGTATAGGACACCTGTATAGGACACTTGAATGAACTTGCAGGAGTGGGAGTTGCTGTGGGTGAGTCATTGAGTAGGTGAGGGCTTAGGGCCTCGCTGTGTACTATTGGCAGACTTTATAAATTCAGCTGACGCAAGGTTTATAAATAATATAATATATATCTCTTCATCCAATAACAAATTAACCTTAGCTTTCTGGGCCTCTGCCTTCCACATGTGACACTTAGATAAAGTCCCAGGCTCCTGGGTTCAACCTGCAGCAGCTTCATCGATTCAGTTATTTGAGAAGCGAATTAAAAGATCCGTGTCTGTCTGTCTCTCCCCCTCTTTCTCTGCCACACTGCATCTCAAAGAAATCCATATTTTAATTTTTTTTTTCACTTTTTAACATTTTCTGTTAAAAACAAAGACACACATAGTAGCCCAGGGCTGCCCAGGCTGTCCCCACTCCACATGTGGTTCCACTGGAAGTCTCTAGGACAGTCATCAACACACAAAGCTACAGCAACAATACCTCCTTCTGGACACCTCCTGAAAGACCTGCCTGAGGCTGTTTTGTAGTTAGCTGTTTTCTTAATAAGCAGATGCAGTGTGCTCTAAATATGTAACAATACAAGAGGGGGCATTGTAAAGACATTTATCATCATGATCAAGTATTGTGTCCCGACTATAATTGTATGTGTCGTACTTTTATATGACTGCCAACTCAGTAGGTTTGTTTACACCAGCATTACCCCAAATGTGAGCAACATGCTGTGCTGTGACATCATGATGGTAATGATGACATCACAAGGTGACAGCCATTTTTCAGCTCTATTATAGCCTATGGACTATATCCTATAGGCTGCTGATGTTGATGGAAATGTCCTTATGTACTACCTGACTGTGCTCTTCTCTACTCAGTTTACTTTTCTACTCTCTAGTCCAATTCCCCATACCCCTCCAGCCTGCACATCCTCACTCACTTCCCAGACAAGTCATCCACTGGCAACTCCTTGACAAGCCTGTCCCTGGCATCTTTAGGGTCTGAGGCCACCTTTTGTAAATGGTGTAAATGGTGGATTCTGCCTTGCCCCTTACCCGAAATCTGATCTTTTCCTGCTCCTGGTGGATCTATAAAGCGCCTTGTAACCCTATGTAGACCACTCAGACTCTACCTCCATGCTCTGATTTTACCCCTGCAAGCTCTGGCAATGCTCTGTGGTCAGCAGTGAGTCCCTCTTTAGAAGGAAACCAGCGTCTACCCTGGATCCCAGGGTCTTGGGCACTGCAGCGTGTTCTCGAAGTGGGAGTGCAGGCTCTGCTTGAGCACATAGCTTCTTCCCATGGAGAGGCATGGAGCTAGAACTGGTCCTTCTGAAATGTGGGGCCAAGGGCAGAGGTCCCGGATCCTGGAGTTTAAGGATGGCAGGAACCTTAAATGTCTCCCCTCAGCTCCATAAGCCTTGCATCTGTACCTTTCCCCCCGCTATTTTTCCGCCTGTGCATGTATGACCTTCTATCAGAGGTCAGTGGGAACCTCAGGGTCAGGGCGACACAAGAGGAACGGAAGGGCCTTGGCAACAGCAAGGTCCTGCCACTGGTTGTAGCTCCTCACTTGCAAAATAGTGGAGTGTGCACTGCTCATCCTGCACTGTCAGCATGAAGGTTAAACGGAGTGACTCAAGGAATCATTTAGATACTGGATTGCTCAGCTTCTCCAGGCCTCAGCCAATGTGTTTGGACAGCCAGATAATTTGTTTTGAGATGGAGATTCTTAAATAGCTTATCAAGGAACCAACCGCCATTATCTAAAGAAGATTATACTGTAGCTTTTTAGAGGACTGGATTCAGAATGTTGGGTCACACAGCCTAGGGCATTATCTGTTTCTTTCACAAAATTCTACTTCTAACACAGCCCTTAAACAGTTACTAACAACAACAAAATATAAAAAGGAAACTCCTGAGGTCAAGTGTAAATGCTGAATGAGAGCCAAACAACAGGCTGAATGACTTGCTTCCCATGGCCCTCCAGCTAAGAAGGGTTTGTAAATTTTTAATGAGTCACAAAACAGAACAATCTGCAACAGAACTACAAGTGACCCTCCAACTTGAAATATGTACTGTTTGTCCCTTCACGGAAGATATTTGTAATTGAAGGATACACTAACCTCTTTCCATCCTCCAATTACTAGCCACTTTCCATCTCCTAGGCTATCCTCAGAGCCAAGGCCAAGGGAGACAAATTATGATTCCCAAACTGCCAGCAATCGTCTTCAAAGCCACGTGGGAATGGTCTCAGGAAGGGGTGACAGAGGTCTCAGGGACTAAGCACAAACCCCGAGTAACTCGTAGGGCAGAGGGGAGAAGGGCCATGCAGGTACAGGCTCCACACCCACGGAAGGGAGCTCAGCTGCAGCCCAAGGAGACCTCAGGTCCTTGGTCTTTTGTTTACCCAGAAGAGGAGCTGTGATGATCAGAGTTTATAGTCTAAGAGAAGACACAATCTGATAAAAACAGAAACTTGTGCCAACTGGCAGATCTTTGACAATTTTTGGCAACCCATATTATCTTGGGTCTCTGTAGTCAGAAGTCAAAGCAAGACCACACTTTCAGTGATAACACTGTCTCTGTTCTCACTCTAGCCTCAGCAGTCACAAGACCAGCACCTCCAGACCTTCTCTTCTGGGTTGCGTACCATCACCTCCTCCTCTTCTGACTCATGCTGTCCCAGTCAGCTTCTTCCCTTCAAGGGGCAGTCCTAGCCCACCTACCTTCAGTCCCGGGGGCAGGACTTCTTGGTGGTGGATTTGGATCAGGGCGACAGCTGCAAGCACCACAACACTCACAAGCAGGAGAATGAAGGCGATAATGGCTGGAGTCCGGGAGAGGGTTCTGAAGCCTAGAAGGGAGGGCAAGGAGCTGGATACATGCAGAAAAAGTAGGATCCGGGCCCTCCATGATTGAGCCTGTAATCGTGTAAGTCACTTCCCCAGGTGTCCACAAGACCTGTCATCTCAAGGTGGATTAGCAGTTGGGCTCCAACACCCATTTATCATTACTCCCAAACTGGGGAGCGTAATGGTGTTTGCAGGGAGAGGATGCATAATCAAGTTTCCTGGTCTTTCTCCAAGTGTCTTACACATGTCATTCCTGAGATGATTAATGGTAACATTAGTTTTTATGTGGATTTAAAACTCTAGGTTCTCTATTAAAGCAAATGATACAATTATTTTGTTAGAAAATTATCTCTGCTAAGTAAAAGAAATTAGTACTGCCCTATACTGAAATGATTCCAGTTACAGAAGCTTTGGCCCTTAAGAAGATTCTTATAAATTGTTCCTATTATCCTAAAAATTTGAAAGGGAAGAATACCCAATTTAGGAGATACCTTAAGATCTAGCCATCTCATTGAATTGAAATAGATTCCAAATGACTAAAAGACTATAAACACTGGTATCATAGTAGAAAAGATCAATGGATTCAGAGAATTCAAAAATGCCTTTTACCAATTATTACTAATTATTTAAAATTAAACAAATTTTTTAAAAGCTCAGTTCTTCAGTCTTACCAACCAACCACATTTGAAAGGTTTGATTACCACACATGCACAAATGGCTGCCATCCCAGATAGCATGGATGTGCCACATTTCTGTCATGGTAGACCATTCTGCTGAACAGCAGAGGGAAGGATCCCGTTCGGTTCAGAAAGTTTACACTTAGCTCATCATGACCTGTGCTTTTATTGCTTTGTTATTTCTAGGAGATATTTTCCTGCCACCGTGAGATGAAAGAGCTCTCAAACATTCAGGGGAAAAAATGGAATTAAAAATATATTTTTGGATACAAAATTTTTTTTTGGCAGCCCACACATAAGTTTTTTGTTATTGGAATTTCCATGCACTGATTGAAAACTCCTCCTAGAATTAATCTCAGCCCCGATATCCCGGTCACCTCACAGTTCACTCCTTGGGCAGGGCAGGCAGGTGGTGGGCCTGAAGGCACTGCGAAGCCAACTCCTGCTGTCCCACCCGACTCTCCTGCAGCAGAAATGTTGTCTCCGACACTCGGATGTCACTTGTTGGTCCCTCAACAGCTTCATTCTCCCACCCTATTATAAAGTATGTAAACGCATCCTCAGACTGCAATTTATTAATATTCATCAAAATTGCAAATTAGTACCCCCCACTGACTCAGTAGTCCCACCTCTGGGGAGTTTATTCCACAGAATTGGCTCCACAAGGGTAAAAACAGCTCACACACCAGGATCTTCATTGCAGAATCACATGTAATGGGAACCAGAGGGAGGCCAACCACCATGGAGCCATGGAATTGAACTTTAGGCATCCAAAAGGGTCATGGATCCCTTTTCTGTGGCTCCAGAAACAATGACATGGACCAGCCAGGAAGCAAGTTCAGCCATTGAGGTCAACATTGACATCAACTCTCAGAGAACATTAAATGTCACTTACTGGCGTTTAGGGGCAAATATTTAAGCTGCCAAATCCAAGCTGTGCTTTGGAAGGAAATGTCCTCAGGTCATCTGTGTGTGGGATGTTACAGTAGATGTGAAAATGTCAGCGTGCTTTGGGGAAAACCTGGACATCACAACAGATTTCCCTCTATAAGCAACAACAAAAACTGTTGTGGCATAAATTGCCCTTTACTGCCCTGCAAGCATATTCGTAGGGAGAACAAGAACACCCGCTCCAGGGTCTGCAGTGCGTCAGGAACATCTACCCAGGCAGGAGGGACTGGCGATCCCTGAGCAGCTTCTTGACCGCAGCCACGCGGCTGGCCGCCTAAGCCCTCTTTGCCTCAGCAGTTTGCAAGGAAAAAGCTATGATTACGTTAAGCAAAACCTCACCCCAGCAGAAAAGCTTATTACAAAGTAAAATGGGCTAGACGAGCTCTCAATTCATTTGAGAAATGCAGCCTCTAGCTGTGCTGTCATTAGCACTGGACAAACAAGTGTAATTGCAAGGTGAGCACGAAGAGGCTGCAGCCTTCCAAGCTTCCACATGAACAGCTCCCAAAAAGGGCTCCGGAGGCTGCTGGGCCAGGCTTGGAAGTGTGCGTGTGTGTGCCTGTGTGAGAGAGACACACACACAGAGAGAGAATTCCACGCTTGTGAGAACCATCACCCTGACCCTGGCTGGGGCAGGAGAACTGTAGGCCCTGAGCCAGCAAAAACATTTGGATGGAAATACAGGCAAGATGCGAGCATACCCCACAATTCATCACTTAATCAACAGTATTCTAAAGCCAATCTTACACACAGCTAGGTAAGGGAAACCATGAGGGCCAAATTAATGGATTATACAAACCGGAAAAACCATTAAAGCGAAACATGCATGTTCATCCTTGCTTTGTGTGGCTTTGATGAAAAGAATTACTTTTATCTGAGGAATGCCGCCGGCGAAACCCCAGTGAGCCACAGAGTCTCTAACTAAGGCGGTTAAACAGTCATTTGCAGGAGGCAGAGATGAAACGTGGCAGGGGGCCCCCCACTGCTGCCACCACCCGCCAGAGGAAGCTGGATTCTCCAGCGACCTGGCCCAGCTCACTGCCTGCGGAAGCACTCACCTGCTCGCTCACATGGTTGCCGGGTCAGCACCGAGAACATGTTCTCTCCCAGCTGCTGGTGTGGGAGAAAACCCAAAATGACCCGATGTCCGCTGCCCTTGAGTTCACAAGTTCAAAAAAAAAAAAAAAGAAAAGGCACAAGTTCAAACACAAACCCTCTTCACTTCCTCCCAATCAAAACCTCATCCCGGAACAAGTGAACCCAAACCCAGAACTTCAGGCTTAGATCAGAGCTGGAGCCCAGATCCTAATGGCACTGCCCCAGAGGCGAGCCAAGGAAGAATGGATTTGCTGAAACTTAATGCAAACAAATAAATAAAAAGTGTCTTTCGGCAGGCTGTTCCACCTGCACACACCACCCGGGGCAGAACACATCTGCCTCCAGTGGTGACATTCACAAGGCCAGGGCAGAGCGCATAAGCAAGGAAGGTTTCCGTGTGTGTGTGTGTGTGTGTGTGTGTGTGTGGGTGTGTGTGTGGCCTGCGAGCCTCCAGCCACCCTTTCAAGACCCTGGAGCTGGATCCTTGGCTGGGCACGGCTGGCTGTCTGGTCCTAGGGCTCGAGTCCGAGGGCTTGCGGGGGGACACACTGGACCCGCGTCATGCCCCGCCGCGAGGGTCTGAACGCGCCGCGCATCTCTTGATCCGCAGAGATTCAGGGTAAAGACGCGTCCAGCTCTCGCGGGCGCTGCGGGAGCCACCACCCCGCCGTCCCCACGATTTGGGGCTCGCGTGCTCCGGGCCCTCCTCGCAACCCTTCGCGGGCATATGATCCCAGTGCCTTTCCCTCTTGGCTCCTTGTCTCACGCTGTCACCTGCTCCTTCCTCTGTGGCGGCTCGGGCGCCGGGTCCCCTGACCTTACCTGAACGCTGCCGATTCGGGAAAGGCTTCTGGCGCGGTGGAGGAGCAGAGCCGGGTTAGGGAGGCGGGGCGGGCTGGGGCTGGGCGGCGCAGCCTGGGCCCGGGACCGCCCCCTCGTCCGTGTCTGGGCTAAGCACCTGCTCACCTTTTCTCTGCTAGCGCCTCCCACCAGCCCTCCTGCCCACTCACTCCTATCCCTTGCAGGGAGAAGGGAGGGGCCAGTGCCCTGGTGCCAGAGACTCTCCTCCTGTTTTCTGGAACCCACTGTTTCCCTCCAGGACCCAAACAAATTGCACTGTACCAACCTCTCAACTCCAAATAGAACGAGCAGGGACCACACCTTGTCCCCACCCCACCGCAGCCTGAGAGTGGGACTGGGGAGGAAGGTACCTTCTGCCTGCTGCCACCTCCCGTGTGTGTCAAGGTCAAGCACTTTTGTGTCTCTATTCTGGCTTCCTCCACTGGCACCCCACCCTATGTAGAGGGAAGAGTGGGTCAGGGACCAAGTAGGGACAGGGCACCACCGGGATCCGAAGCCAGGAGCCAGGAGCCTCTTCCAGGTCTTCCACACAGGTGCAGGGTCCAAAGGTTTTAGGCCGTCCTCGACTGCTTTCCTAGGCCACAAGCAGGGAGCTGGATGGGAAGCAGGGCTGTTAGGATTAGAACCAGTGCCCATATGGGATCCTGGTGCATGAGGACTTTTAACCACTAGGCAACTGTGCTGGGCTCGAACAGAGTTTGTTTGTTTAATGTTGGCAGCTGTGGGCCAAGGAACAATGAGGTGGATGACCAGGAGCTGAGGGTCCCTCTGAGTCCACACATGGCTGCTGGACCCAAGGCTGATCTGCTGTAGGGGTGAGGGATAGCCTCCATAGTCCGCAACGAATTTTCCAGGAGCTACAAAAAGATGGCTGAGTCTGGGGGTGTTAGGAGGTTCTTGGTGCTGGTCTCTGCTGGACCTCTCTCTTCTTGCCCCATCCACAGGGCTTGGGGCAGGACAATGGGCCTGTGAATCCACAGAGAAATAGGAATGTCTGCAGCAGGGAAATGAATAATGAATGACATGCACTGGACCATTTAAGAAAGAAACATAAGCAACTAACAGTTACAGCTTAATATCATAGCTTATATACGTATGTACATATATTTCAAAGATTTATTTATTTTTGTTTGAAAGGAAGCTTTACAGAGAGCTTTTTCATCCATCTGCTGATTCACTCCCCAAGTGGCCACAATGGCTGGAGCTGAGCCAGTTTGAAGCCAGGAGCCAGGAGCTTATTCTGGGTTTCCCATGTAGGCAGAGGGACCCGAGCACACGAATCATCTGTGCTGCTTTCCTAGCCGTGAACAGGGAGCTGAATCGGAAGTAGAACAGCTGGGAATAGAACTGGGAGGCTGGCACTGAAGGCAGAGGACTAATTTGCTGAGCTGGTCTGTCTCCTCCTTATACAGTTTTCAGTTAAAACTCTGATACCTTTAAACAAGATTTTAGTTAATTTTTGTTCATGGGGCGACAGGAGAGAAACCACACACACACATTAGTTCTCTCTCCCAATATCCACAACAGCCAGGGGTGGGCCTGAGCTGGGGCTAAATCCAGGAGCTATGAACTCAGTCTCTGTCTCCCATGTGGGTGCAGGTGCCCAACTGCTTGAACCATCAGCATTGTCTACCAAGATCTGCATCAGCAGGAAGCTGGAGTCTGGAGCCGGAGCTGGGGATTGAACCCTTCCTTGTGCTCCATGTGTCTTCAGCGTTGGGCTTAACATCAGCTCCCCAAGATACAAGATGGGGGTCTGTTTAACAACATTGACACAGCTCTGTAGTGTGGGCGTCAGTGAATCGTGGGGGCAGCAGGCCCTGTCACGGCACTGGGTGGGGCACGTCCTCTCTGCTTGCTTCCCGCTGCCCTGGGGCCCTCTTCCAGCACTTTCTCCAAAGGCTCCGTTAGTCAGAGGCTGCTTTTGCCTCCCCTTTTTGTGTTCTTTTCCGGGAAAATCTCATCTTTGTCTGTTCCCTGGGCTGCCTGGCCCCCGCTCAGACTTCTCCACTGGCTGTAGGCCGGTGAACTGTGTTTGACCTCTGGGGGGTGTCTCACGGGCAGCCCACGACCAGGTTTCAGACTGAGCTCCTGGTGGCTGTCCGCTCCTCCCCCTGCTCCCCAACTCCTCATCACTCCCACTCATCCGGGGAGTGAGCCAGAAACCCGAAGGTTTCCTTTGATCATCTTTCTCTCATTTTTCATAATTACCCAGTCACACACAACTGCTGATTTTAACCTCTTAATTGTCTCTAGTCAGTACTTCTCTGTCTCACCCCCGTGGAGGTCCGAGCCAATGCTTGGTGATCTGGGTGCCACTGATATTTTGGGTCAGATGACTCTGTGCTTGCATTAGCCTGGTTGAGTATGTATATGTTTATTTTTGAAAAGAGGAGTTTACAGAGAGAGGAAGAGAAAGAGAGAGAGGAGAGAGATTCTTCCATCCACTAATTCACTTCCAAGTTGGTTGCAGTGACCAGGACTGGGCCAGGGCAAGCCAGGAGCCTGGGGTTGCTTCTGTGCCTCCCACGTGGGTACAACATCTTCCACTGCTTTTCAAGGCACATTAAGCAGGCAGCTGGATTGGAAGCATCGCAGCCAGGATTCCAACTGGTGTGCATATAGGGTCCAGGACTGCAGGCAGAGGCTTAACTTGCTATGCCACAATGCTATCCCCAGCCAGCATTATGGGATATTGGCTTACAAGCACCGAACCTTGTCCTTGCCAAATACTGTTTGCTACACACTGTGGCAACCAAAAATGTCTCCAGATATTTTCAAGTGTTTTCTGAGAAGAAGTAATATTTCCTGCCAGTCTGAATTACTACACTCTTATCTGGATGTTGATAGTCTTCTTACTAATCTATGTTCTTTTTCTTCCTTTAGGAACCGTGTTTCCCACTACCACCATCCCCAACTGTGTTGTTTTTTTTTTTAAGTTGTATCTTATATTTAATGGTCACATAAAATTGCACTAATTTATGGGTTATAGTGTGATATTTTGATATGCAAATATATGATATAATGACTAACTCAGGGTTGCCAACATACACATCATTTCAAACTTTTTTAATTTTTAATTTTTGATGATATGTACATAGTTGAGCAGTGTGGGAAGGATCGAGGGTTAGGGAAAAGTGGGTATAATTGTTTCCAAATTTTCTATTTCTTCCTGTTTTGGGGGGAAGATAACGGGAGAAGTCTTACCCACCCTCCCAACTGCCCCAGTGCCCATGATAGGAATGACTACCGATATCAACCCAGGGTTCCGATGCGGCACATGAGCTGAGGGTTCTGCCCAAGTGGTTTTGATAGTTCTAAAATGCTGTTGATCTTGCAGATCCAAGGATGAGGAAACCCTTCCAATGTCCAGTGGCTGACATAGTAAACCTCAGAGTCTCCATTTGCCCAGATTTTTGCTCTCAGCATTAGGCTGGCGTAGTTGTCCAATTTGTTCTGTTCTCTGCTATGGTACCAGATGTCCCCTGCAGGCCCTAATGGGCTGCCATGTCCTTCACGTGTATCAGGGCCTGCCATCCACTCTTCCGTCTTTTCCACTGAGGAGGACCTGTTTTCACAGGCAGGCCAGGGACCAGGGCCAGGTGACCCAGGCCCCACAGGACCCCCGCCTACGGTACTCATTAACATCTCCAGGGTCATTAACATAGCCATCATTTCAAACTTTTTTTTTTTTTTGGTTTATTTATTTGAAAGGTAGAGACTTAGAGAGAGATGGTCCATTCACTGATTGACTTCCCAAATGACCACAACAACTGGAATGGGGCTAGACAGAAGCCAGGTGCCAGGAAATCTGTCCAGATTTCCCATGTGGGTGTTAGACATCTGTGATTGACCAGCACCTGCCACCTTCCAGAACGCACACACTGCCTGAAAGCTGGAGAGAAAGCAGAGTCGGGACTGGATTGCAGACACTAGGAGGTGAGGTGCAGCTATCCTGGAGTAGGAGCTGGCTTAGCCTGCTCCGCCCAGAGGTCCACCTGTGCCTCAAACTTTCGCCATTTCTCTATGCTAAGGACTTTTTAGGTCCTTCCTCCTAGTTATTTTGAAATATACAATATAATATTAATCACTAGCCACACTAAGCACCAGAACTTATTCTTCATATCTAAGTTTGCAAA